CGGCCTCTCCTGGGAAACGCGGTGGCCCCGGGTCCCGTGCCGGCCACTCCCCGGGGAGCGCGGTGGCCCCGGGTCCCGTGCCGACCCCTCCCGGGAAGCGCAGTGGTCTCAGGTCCTTGTCCTGCCTCCTGGGAAGGGGGCTGCGTGGCCTATGTCTCTGCTCCCTCTAGCGGGGCCCTTGGGGTCCTCTCCGAGAAGCTAAACCTAAATCCTTAGGGTTCCCAGGCCTGAGGGAGGCACCAGGACCACTTTATTCTTTCCGTATTGTCTTTGAACATTAAAGGAGACGATTCAGAGCAGAAGGTGATTTGTCCAAGGTCACGAGGGTACTGGTCCTAGAGCTGGAGGAGCCGTAGCGAGTCCCGCTGTCAGTCAAGGAGGGAGCGAGGTGGTGCTGAGCCGGGGCTGGCCCGCCTGGGTTTGGGTTCGAATTTTCCCGTAGCGTCGGTGCAGCTGCAGTGCATCGTGAGGGTCTGAGGAGCAGACTGCCCCGTGGGCGCAGGTGGCTTCGTTCTACACACTTTACAGAAATTCTCCTTTGGCAGCTCAGGGTGGGGATTGGACAGACCCACAAGTCCCAGTGAGGGGAGGTGAGCACGAAGGGGAGCGGGAAGGGACGGAGGGGCCTGGGCGGGGAGCAGAGGGTTGGCTGAGCCTGGGGATGCACACTGGAGCAGCTGTTTGGTGGGACCAGTCAATGATGGGGGTGGAAGCTGGCCCTGAAGGGACAGTCCTGGAGGCAGGGCTGCCACTTTGGAAGGGGTTGGTGGCAGTAGAGGTGGACAAGAGGGAGATGGAGTGACAGGGGATGCTCCTTTCTGACCCAGGTAGCCGAGTGCTTGATAATGTAGGAAAGAGGCAGGTGGGGTAGAGGCTGGCAGGAGTCAGAGGTGAAGATGGTGAGTTGAGTTGTAGAGCAGTTGGGTTTGAGTGGCAGTGATTGTCTGTATGGAGACGTCTGGCAGACACTGGGTCCTGGGAGAGGTGAGAACTGAAGATGCATGTGGGAATCATTGGTTGTGGGATATTTTAT